TTGTGTCACAATTTATTGTAGGATGAACAAAAATGATATATAAGTTTATTGAAATAATTTGGTTACCTGTTATGAGATTTATAAACTGCCTGGCAACTGTTGTTTGTGGGAGGGAATGGAGCAGTAGTGCTTGTTGAACTCTCTGTGCATACAGTGTAACTGAGAAATTAGCATTTGTCCCACACAAGATGTCCGGCAGGTCTACTGCTGCTGCTGTTGCTATTTTTTAAATTGTAAGAATTGTTCCTGAGTAAGTTGGAGTCATTTTCTAGACTCCAGAAGTCAGCTTTCACATATACTTTTGAAAATAGACAAGAGGAGAAAAACAATAATAAATATACTAGTTTTCATTTATGGGTACATATGTGAAAAGGCAGCAAAGATGACTGTTATGACTTCTGGCTTGTTATCCACATATTTAAATCTTTCAAAGAAGAGGTAAAATTGAGTATTCACAGTATGTTGCACAAATTTCAGTTTTGCTAGCTACATTCTGCCTATGTATATTTCTCCTTTATTATAATTGGAATACACTGTGCTCATTTTCTGTCTTAAAATGATATGTGACCATGTAATGTTGTAGTTCCCATATGCCCAGCAACATAATTGATTAAATACAACTTTGTATTTTCTCCTCTTTTCCCCATGTTCGCTAGAATTTTGAACGTATTAATTCTATGACTACTCCGTGGATCAAAGGGGCCTATGTTCATTGTGCCCAGGTATGCTCCTGATGGCCTTGGTCAGAATAGCTGGCAATGCATGTATGAAAAAGCCACGGCTTATTTCAAATGACCAAAACCATTGTGTTCTCTACTAAATGATCAAAAACTTTGTGTTCTCTACAATTCTTTTTCACATATGAATAGTGATGCTTTTCCCCCCTCCAACTAACAATTTCTAACTCTGCCTTATAACTTTTTAAGTTGATTTATCTGTTAGCACAGACATTCTTAATTACAGCAACAAAGATGACTTTCAGTTCCTTCATTCCTCTGCATTTATTCCCAAGAAATCGCCCACTCAAACAACAGCTGCCATCCTAAAGGCTTTGGCTTTCCTTTGGGCTGATGTTATTCACATATGTTATCCTTTGACTGCAGTCTCTTGTCCAATTTCTCTTCCGCTGCTGTCCTTTTTACACTGCACCTGTCCACCCCACTGTCTCGAGGTATGATAAGAGGGTCCCAGAAGCAGCATTTATATGGCTCCAGCTGGAACTCCTCCAGCTCAGCCTTGTCTTGGACCCAAGGAAACGGAATGCTTACTAAACCACCTGACATATGTGAGATAGTATAGAGAACGTTAAGCAATTGGACTAGAACTGCCAATACCCAACAGAAGTTGGAGTGGGTTGATGTTGCTGTGGTGATGAATCGGTATATTTTGACAGTAAGTTATGATGTTGGTAAACATTGCAGTACAATGTCAGGACATGAGTGACTGGTCATTTTTGACCTTCTTCAGTACCATACAATGGCAAAGTGTTGCCCCAAAAATGAGTACTGCTGGTCTGAAGCTTCCTCCCACTCTTCGCAAAAAGATTACCATGGGCCCACTTCCTGCTGAAGTACTGCAAACTCATTCTGGATTCCTGTGGGGCCTTAAAACTCATTGCCAGAAATTTCACGGAAACAACAGCTTATGTACCAAATGACTGGAGGATAGCTAATGTGATGCCAATTTTTAAAAAGAGCGCCAGAGGTGATCCCATCAATTACAGGCCGGTAAGCCTAACTTCAGTACTGGGCAAACAGGTTGAAACTATAGTAAAGAACAGAATTTCAGACACATAGATGAACATTATTTGTTGGGGAAGAGTCAACATGGTTTTTGTAAAGGGAAATCATGCCTCACCAATCTACTAGAATTCTTTGAGGGGGTCAACAAACATGTGGACAAGGGGGAATACAGTGGATATAGTGTACTTAGATTTTCAGAAAGCCTTTGACAAGGTCCCTCACCAAAGGCTCTTCAGTGAAGTAACCTGTCATGAGATAAGAGGGAAGGTCCTCTCATGGATCAGCAACTGGTTAAAAGATAGAAAACAAAGGGTAGGAATAAATTATCAGTTTTCAGAATGGAGAGAGGTAAATAGTGGTGTCCCCCAGGGATCTGTCTGTATTATTCAACGTACTAATACTGATCTGGAGAAATGGGTAAACAGCGAGGTGGCAAAATTTCCAGATGATACAAAACTACTCAAGATAGTTAAGTGCAAAGCAGACTACAAAGAGCTACAAAGGGATCTCAAAAACTGGGTGACTGGGCAACAAAATGGCAGATGAAATTCAGTGTTGATAATGGCAAGGTAAAGCACACTGGAAGACATAATCCCAACTACACACATAAAATGATGGGATCTAAATTAGTTGTTACCACTCAAGAGAGAGATCTTCGAGTCATTGTGGATAGTTCTCTGAAAATATCCACTCAGTGTGCAGTAGCAGTCAAAAAAGCGAACAGAATATTGGGAATCATTAAGAAAGGGATAGATAAACAAGACAGAAAATATCATATTGCCTCTGTGTAAACCCATGGTATGTCCACATCTTGAATACTGTGTGCAGATGTGGTCGCCCCATCTCAAAAAGGATATATTCTAATTGGAAAAGGTATAGAAAAGGGCAAGAAAAATGATTCGGGGCATGGAACAGCTTCTGTATGAGGAGAGATTAATAAGATTGGGACTTTTCAGAGATGACTAAGGGGGTATTTGATAGAGGTCCATAAAATCATGACTGGCGTGGAGAAAGTAAATAAGGAAGTGTTATTTACTCCTTCTCATAACACAAGAATTAGAGGTCACCCAATGAAATTAGTAGGCAGCAGGTTTAAAACAAACAAAAGGAAGTATTTCTTCACACGATGCACAGTAAACCTGTGGAACTCTTTGCCAGAGGATGTTGTGAAGGCCAAGACTATAACAGGGTTCAAAAAAGAACTAGATAAATTCATGGAGGATAGGTCCATCAATGGCTATTAGCCAGGATGGGCAGGCATGTTGTCCCTAGACTCTGTTTGCCAGAAGCTGGGAACAGGCGACAGGATGGATCACTTGATGATTGCCTGTTCTGTTCATTCCCTCTGGGGCACCTGGCATTGCTCGCTGTCGGAAGACAGGCTACTGGGCTAGATGGACCTTTGGTCTGATCCAGTATGGCTGTTCTTATGTAAGTAGAAAGCTCTCTGTGGCCTTTAGACATGCACTTGCAAAACCCTTCTGGGGATTTGAATTGGATAATTGTTACACTGAGAGAAAAATAGCATGGAAAATTTGGGGACATAGTATTGTTACATTAGATCTGCTTTACTAAAACTTTAATTTCATCATTATTTGTAATTACAGAATTCCCTGAGAACCATTGATAGATGCTTAAACTGTGTTATAAATAACTCTCAAACATTAAAATGTGGGCAAACAAGCACAGTTTTGTCCCTGTAGGAGTCTTTCTATCCTAGTCTCTACCAGCTCTTAATCCATGATTATTTCTAATAATTTTTAAAGAAGATCCAAAAATTATGGTTAGTGTGTTTTTTCTTCACTACTTACTACTTGAACTGTGTAAATTCAATCAGTTTATCTGGGTCTGTCTAACTTTCTCAGAGTGATTGTTTCATAGAAGGACCTCACAGTTTCTATGCAACAGCCATGTCTCAGGATGTGGTGGAAGTGATTTTTCTTTCTTTAAGTGACAAGTGGTCTTTAATGGAGCTTTGTTTACATATACTAAATGCTTAAAAGCTAGGACATGTTGATGAGTCTCAAAATGGGGGATAAGAATAAAAGCAATAAATAAATTCAGTTTGCTGAGAAGCAGTAATTTGAAGAATTCATTTGTCAAACAAGTCAGAAAAAATCCAGTCTACGTTCAGATAAAACGTTCAGCTACAATTGGCCCAAGCGAAAATTGTGGATAAGAATATCCCTGAGCTAGGGAAAAGTCCAGATCTAAACTTCTTAAGGCAGCATAAGAATGCATCAAACCAAAACCACTCATTCAAACACCTCTGAACTTTGAGAAAATTCAGGTCTTGATTTATACTTGATTACTCAGGCCTATCTCTAAATACACTTGGCTCCCCATGCTCAACTTTTTGGCAATGTCATAAAATATGATTTGGTGCCTTTTAAAAGATATTATTCACAACGGGCCATGTTTGGCGATAATAAATATGTTATAGCTTTTTTTTCCAGTGATTATGCTCCCTTGAATGTTATTGAATCTGTGTGTTTTGTTAAAAGATTTCCTCCTCATAGTCAGTCTTCTTAATCCAGGAGTGAAAAACTGTGATGACTACACCTGTTGCCATGGGAACAAATATGATGTCACAAATACAGCATTGTGATATCGCTGCGGAGGGAGGAGGAAGATGGTCTGTGAAGGAATAAACCATTTTTGTTTACACACTGTCTTGGGTAGAAAATGTGGTTAAAGTGTTCTGAAAAATGTGAAAGGTGAATGGACTTGTTTTATCCTTCTATATCTGGAGGTTTTCCACAGCATCACAGTTCCTCATCACTCACAGATGGTTATTACTATTTCATTGTATCATTGTGAAATTTCAACAAATTTGGATCTGGCAGCAGCCTGTGTCTAGCTCATTTTTACAAATTATTGCAAATAATACAGAAAGATGCTGGGGCTTTGTTTGCTTTTGTGGGGTTGTGGACAAAGGTGTATGTCTAAAATATTTTGATTTCTGACACCCTATTCATAATGAGTGAAAAAATCAGATTGACTTTTTGCGTTGAAGTTTCACATTTGAACAACGTGTATATTACACCATGCAATTTCAAACTATGTTAATTTCATGTAATCAAATGGTCAATATTATCTTACAGGCAGTTTAATTTATTTTATTTTCTTGTTTTAGCTGCTAATTTAGCCAAAGGCATTCTGTTAAATTCAAAAGGAAGTTTCTGTAGGCATCCTCCCTCAGGTAGTATTTTATGGGTTTTACTCTCAGACTCATCTCTTTACCTTTCTATTTTCCAGGTTGGTGAGAGACAGAGAGTTCTGGTAACAGAAGAATCTTTTGATTCCCAGTTTTATGTTGCTCACAATCAATTCTACGAGCAGGTACAGTAAAATAAATATACAAAATTAAAATCTCAATAATTTTCTTTTTACTTTCTGGTAATCTCCCTAAACAAGGCCAACAGTAAAAGTGCTACAGTTCAAAAGACAGGCAAAGGAAAAAATGTTGCCCGCCAAGAGGGGTACAACTCTCTAGACTCATTAATGGGAGATTCTGCATCGTGGTGTTTTGTAGCTGTGAAAATACCATAAATGAATTAAAAAATACGTAATGGATATTTGTGATTTTCAGTAAACTTTCAGATAGCACTTCTGGACACTGCAATTTGGCAAAGTCTTTGTTAAAGAAGAATAGAAAAAAGGCAAGAAAGATCTTGATTCAGAAGGAGCTTTTGCCTCTCATGTTTAGCCTCATAGCACTTCAATCTTAAATATATGCAATTTGTTTTTAAGTATTTGTTTGCAAATGAAATCCTTCCACGTAGAACACAATCCTTCTGAACTACAATTACCATGGCAGATAATTTGCCCCCAGACATTAAGGGTTAATTTAGTTTTCTTGCAATTGTCTGTATTTCACTTAACTTTTTTTTCCCCAAAAACTAAGCTAGTATTCCTTTCTTTTACTGCCATATAACGTTGCAAGCATCTGTCTAATTTTCTGCATAGTGTATGGTAGATCTCTTTCAGCATTGTGTCACCACTTGACCTTGGGTGCCTTACAGTGCTTTGCTGCTGTAGCTCCCAGCCTGGGATTCTCACAGCAAGCCTATCAGCATGCAGGTCACACCCTGAGTGTCTGTGTACTAGATAGCCCTGGCTTGCAGCTCTAACCCTAGCAGCCTGTCTACAGCCCCACTGATTTTCACCAGCCTTGCTTACAACCAGCAGGCTGATCCTAACACACTCCCAGTCCTGAATTTCCCCAAAACCATGTGTCCTGAAGTGTCCAGCCCTCACTTGGACCATTCAGAGAAATAATAAGGTTCATTGCTGCTTCAAAGAGACAAAAGCACATTACAGCTTATTAACTTAAGGGGGGGGTAATACAACCTTCCCTTCAAGCACAGCACTGAGATGGTTTATAGTAAAAATAAAACACATTCAATAACAAAATATAGGTGTTCGAATATAAGGAAAGAAGATAGAGATACAAGTAAAATGCTTTCTAGTGGCTAAGACTTGACTTAACAAGCTGCAGTCTTTATTCAAGGTAGATTTCTTGCCAATCTTCCTTTTGGCCACCCATGGGTAACTTTCTTTCAGTCAGGACCTTCCACAGAAGCATAAGGGACTGGTTTCTCTTACCTTCATAGGTGAAAGATCTTTGCCTAAGAAAGTTTCTCATTCAGTTTCCATAGACTTCAGTCCCCCCTTAGTTGAATTATCCATCTTTCTCAGCTTGCAAGAACTCTGTTCCCTTGTGTCTGTCTAATGATGGATACCAAAGATGGCTTCTGTCTTTCTCATATCTTCCAAAGTTCAATTACCTTTTTGCAAGAGGCAGGATGACCTCATGCTGCTGTTTCCTTTGTGCGGGATTCCCATCCCCTTGTTTGTAAATGGACTTCCATAGTTTTGATTCCACCATGCTTAATGCACATAGAAGACTGGTAAATAGCTTTGCCATTCCCTCCTGTATGAGAGACACCTTTTTCTTCCTTTGTTTGGATACAAAAGCCTAATAATCAATGTAATCAATGTAATTCCTTATGTAGTGTTAATACATACATTTTACAATAATATCAGTTTGTCACGGGCTTTCATAGAATATGCTTTTATAATACAGTTATATTGTATACAATTAGTTGATTCAATTGCTTATGACTTAAAGTTCAGACCCTCTGTTTTTATAGCCCAGAGAAAGTTTCTTTTCCGTTTTGAAAGCTGTCTCCTCTCCCACTTGTTAGATTAATAAAGGGGTAGGCAACCTATAGCATGCGTGCCAAAGGCGGCACGCAAGTGATTTTCAGTGGCACTCACACTGCCTGGATCTTGGCCACCGGTCTGGGGAGTTCTGCATTTTAATTTAATTTTAAATAAAGCTTCTTAAACATCTTAAAAACCTTATTTACTGTATACAACAATAGTTTAGTTATATATTATAGACTTATAGAAAGAGACCTTCTAAAAACGTTAAAACGTATTACTGGCACGCAAAACCTTAAATTAGAGTGAATAAATGAAGACTCGGCACACCACTTCGGAAAGGTTGCCGACTCCTGGCTTAATAGCTTTGTATACCTAGATTTAGGGCAGACCAGTTTACTAACTCCCCTTGATATGCCTGGTTTAAATACACTTTAGTCATAAGTCCAGTATATATCCATAATTCTCAATACACACTATGTACACACATCATTTTTAAATACATAAGAAGCAGGAAGCCTGCCAAACAATCAGTGGGGTCACTGGATGATTGAGGTGCTACAGAAGTACTCAAGAAAGACCAGGCCATTGTAGAGAAGCTAAATGAATTCTTTGATTCAGTTTTCACTGCAGATGATGTGAGGGAAATTCTCACACCTGAGCCAGTCTTATTATGTGACATTTCTGAGGAAATGACCCAGATTCAGGTGTCAATAGAGGAGGTTTTGGAACAAATTGATAAATTAAACAGTAATAAGTCACCAGACTAGATGGTATTCACCCAAGAGTTCTGAAGGAACTCAAAACTGAAATTGCAGAATTACGAATTGTGGTATGTAACTTATCACTTAAATCCGCCTCTGTACCAGATGACTGGTGAATAACTAATTGATGGCAATTTTTTTTAAATAAAAAAGGCTACAGAGGCAATCCTGGTAATTATAGGCCCATAAGTCTAACTTCAGTACCAGGCAAATTGGTTGAAACTATAGTAAAAAGCAGAATTATCATACTCATAGATAAACACGATATGTTGGGGAAGAGTCATCATGATGGCTTTTGAAATCATGCCTCACCAATCTGTTAATATTCTTTGAGGGGTCAACAAACATGTGGACAAGGGTGATCCAATGGATATAGTGTATTTGGACTTTCAGAAAGCCTTTGACAAGGTCCCTCACTAAAGACTCTTAAGAAAAGAATCATGGGATGTCTACACTGCAGTGTAAGCCCAAGGTTAGTAGAACTCAAACTTGCAGGCCCTGAGTTTCTTAACCTAGGGCTTGAGTGTCTATACACATTTGTAACCCAGGTTAGGAGCTGCTGAACTCAGGAGCCTGGGGCTCCAGAGTCTACACTGGATTATGTAGGCCCGAATCCAATCACCCATATCTGAAACTTTCTAGCACCCTCCCAAAATGTGGCTGCTCTAGCCCTTTGTGGGAAAACTTGATTGTCCACCAAACTTGACTGTCCAGAGGACAAAGAAAGTTGACCCAGGGGATTGTGGAATTCTTTTGGCAGACTTGCAGAGCATGAGTCCAGTGGGGCTACGCCTACACTGCAAAGCAAGAGGGCTTGACTGCTGGGTCCTGGCTTGACTGAAGCTCAGACCCTCCACCTCCATGGGGTCCTGGGAACCTGGGTCTGAGCCCTGAGTTAGTGCAATTTGTGTGAAGATGGAAGGGGGGGGTAAGCCTGAGCCTGAGTGCAAACCCTGGGCTTACGTTGAAGTGTAGGCGTACCCCAAGAGGCCACAATCAAGATACGGGTGAGGCTCTGTATAAACATATGGACATTGTTTATGCCATGAAGATCTTACAGCTGAAGAACCAGTAGGTTATCATGTAATTACAGAGATGAAAACAGAAAGTGTTAGAGACTTCTAGTAGAGTTAACTTGGGCAAGTAACCTTCGGAGGTGTTTGGATTTGATTCCTGATCTAAATTTTGCAGCTCACACCCACCTCTTTTGTCTGCCAAAGGTATTACTCAGGCAGTTAAGCATAGTTAAAAAGAGCAGACCTAATGCTGAATAGCTCTTTGGGAGTACAAATGGGAGATATTACCAAACAGAGATGTTTTTTAGGGGGAAGTAGAGCATGCAGGTGAATGAGATTTGAGTTTTTCAGGTTTCACACTGATCTTTCACCAAAATTCTGCTTTCTGAATGAAATCTGTGGTGACTTGAGTCCTAAGACATTCAACATAGGAAATGTCTGTACCATCTGAACAATTTCTTTTAAAGGTTCTCGTGCCAAAGGATCCTGAATTCATGGGTAAAATGGTAGAAGTGGACATTTATGAAGCAGGGAAACATTTTATGAAGGGGCGGCCAGTGTCAGATGCCAATGTGTTCACTCCATCCATCACCAGACCGCTAGCAAAAGGAGAGGTTTCCGGTATAACAGAGGTGAGTAAAAGACATTTTCTGCTTTACTACACCAGTAAAACAGCAGCTGTTCAAGAATAATGATTCCAGGCTCTGTTTCTGTTTTCATTTATAGTTCCCTTTTTATGTATGTATGAAGTTTTAATCTTCTGACAGTTTGAAATCTGAATTTAAAAGATGTTTTTGCTAATGCCCATAGTTTTTTTTTTTTGCCCGTAAAGACAATAATAAACTTGTTTCTTGTTTCAGGATGTAACATGAGGAAAGAAATTATTAGCAGGGAAAAGATTCAACACCAGTGATTTATATAATCTAGTATATCTCTAACCTAGTAAACTTTAGGAAAGAGTTGTATATTTTTCTTTACCAAAATATTTGTAATATAGAATACATTAATTTTAAGCCTGTATTAAAATACCTCAATGTACATCTTTCCAGAGGTTCAGATTCCACCAGTGGAGAGAAGTATTGTATATTTCTAACATATTTGGTCGAAGCTAGACAGCTGATTTAGTCATGCAGAGAACATAAAACTTTTTTTTCTTTTTTTAAAAGTAACTTTATCCTGTATTTTATACCTTGGCAAATATGGCAGTTTACCAAGTGTTCTCTTACATGTCATGGAGCTCCTGTTGTAAAAGCTGATGGAGTGTGAAATGAGAATGTGTATCACATTTCTAGGCATCATTTGATGTCCTTTCTCCAGCAGAATTGTTAGGAGCTCCAAAACTATATGTAGCACTAGTTTAGTGTATGGAAGAAAGATACCTGACAATTTATTTAGTCACCTTGCTGCTTTTTCCTTTTTACAGTAAATTGTAGACAATTATTAATAAGAAAAAACATTTCAGTCATTGTTACAGTGTGAGATGGTTGTTTTAAATTGGACACGTGGACTAATGCTCAGATAAGTTAGAATGATATCTTGAAGAGGTTTGGCTGTGGAAACACAGTACAACAGTGTAATAAATCTGTACGTGCAGTAATGTTTTTGACACATCATGAAACATAAGTAATAACTGCGTGTGTGTGTGTGTGTGTGTGTGTGTGTGTGTGTGTGTGTGTGTGTGTGTGTGTGTGTGTGTGTGTGTTGGGGTTTTGGTTTTTGGCCTGGCATAGGACTGTTAAGGGAGTAAGCAGCCAAAATCTCAAAGTGTCTGATTGGACTTAACTACTTAAACACAGCTGGTTTTTTCATCACGTTTTTTAAAAATAATCCACTGGAACAGAACCAGAGCTGTCATTAAGCTGAGTGTGTGCTGCCAAAAGTTTGTAGCATGGGAATGAGCAGACTTGAATGCTGACTGATATTTTATATGTTAAAAGAGAGAGAAAAAAATTATTAGAACCAACATGATTCAGGTGGTTTCAAAAAAACTGCGGAGATACAGGCAAGGTGCAAAGTTCTCAAGTGATGTGCTACTGCCATTTGACCAGCGCCTGTACTGTCCAAATGCAAGGCAACAACAGGGATATGAAACCCTAAATGGCTTTCATAACTTTTTTGGCTAATTGAGTTTGTTCCTTTAAGGTGTCGTATTACTTATAGTTTCTTTATTGGACATGTTAAGAAAAGACGGCAGGACCTAGAACTGTAGCTACCTGTGTCATCTTCAATAGTGGAAAGCTAAATCTGACGGTTTTGAACCAGGCTTCAGTCATTTTATACTTCCTGCAGTTAGTTTCAGCATTTCCCACTAACAGATGTTTCTCTAATACTCAGAAGATGATTCTGGTACTTTCTTTACATACTCTGCTAGGAAATACATTGGATGGCACTCTGGTGTTTGTTTGTTTTTCCTTTATTGCTTTTACTTGGAAGAAAAGATACTCTTAATAGTTATTATTAGGGTTGGACGTTTGGCAAAAATTTGAGGGACAGTTTTTTCCCCCACAGATCAGCTTGAGAAAACCAATTCTAGCTCAGAATTTTTGTGCAAAAACTGCATGGCAGCCATCTTTGATGTCTTTGGCTTATGGAAAGAAAACAGGGAGATGTATGTTTGATTGTGTGTTGCTCTTTACATTTATAATATGTTATATTCATATGTATGCACACAACAGATTGGGGGGATGGACACATCTTGGAAAATATATATTCTGGTTCTGCCTCTGGAAGTGGAACAGGGCTCTGCAGTACTGCCAACCTCAAGAGATCAAAAATCATGAGATTGACCCCCAAAATCATGAGGGTTTTTTGTTTTGTTTTTTAAATCAGGCCATGTTTTTAGTGCATCTTTTGTCTCAACTCTCCTCTACTTTTCTGCCAAAGTCTGTGTTAATTTCTGGTTGAAAAATCAGCCTTTAATGCACACAGATATGGATAGCTCTCTCTGGCTGCTGACATGGAGACTCCACTTACCCTTTCCTTGACCCTAAGATAGAGGAACAGCCATTCATTTCTTATTATTGTTTTGATTCTCTCCCCTTCTAGTTTATTTTCTTTGATAAAAGAAAGATGGGATGGTAAATAGCTTGAGAACCACTGACCTACTTAATGTATCATGACTCACACTCACATATAGAATTTATAATTTTTTTAGGGTTGATGAATTAGAGATATATTTATTTATTTATGTATTTAAATTAAAGAACTTTACATTCATTCCTGCTTTCTGAATTTAGCTGAACAGCATGTGGATGAGTATGACAGGAGGGGGTCTTAGACAAAAATGAACATTGTACATTGTATGCAACAGCAGAAGAGAAATATGCTTCTGCTTATGTTTATGTAGTACTGCAATAAAAGAACAGATGACATTCACAGGTAAGTATGAAATAACTCATCAATGTTGGCTAATGGGCAGTTGACCAGTAACCAGCCTCCTCGGGGCACACAGTATTATGTAATGTCTCTTCAATTAAATATTTTTTTAAAAGAAGTGTTGTAAGTACTTGTAATATTCCAAAATTGACAGTGTTTCAATGCAAAAACTTATTCATATAAGTGATAATGTCACAGTAAAAACAATGTGGGCTTGGTTTAGCCTTCTGCCAGAAGCAGGACTTCCCACCCAAACTTTTTTGGCTCCCGAGACTGGGCCTCGCACCCCACCCATGCTGGCTCTACTTCTCCCTGCTCCGGACCCCCCCCCCCCCCCCGCCCACAACCCTTTCTTCTTCTTCAAGTGATTGCTCATATGTATTCCACAATAGGTGTGCATGCTTGCCTCGTGCACCAGTGCCAGAAGTTTTTCCCCTAGCAGTACCCGGAGGGGAGCACCTCAGCGACCCCTGGAGTGGTGCCTCCATGGCGCGGTATAAGGGGCGCTGCGCGCTCCCCCAACCCTCAGTTCCTTCTTGCCGCCAGTGAAGGTGCTTCGGAACTGCTCTGTTCCAGCTTTGCTGTAGCTCATCCCCAAAACTGCTTGTTCGTTCAGTGTATGGTACCTATAGTTAGTTAGTTATTTAGTTAGTTTTGTTTTTTTTAAGTCGTGCGACACTTGTAGGCAATCTATGCCACTGAGTGATCCGCACACGAACTGCTCAGCGATTGCTGCAAGATTTGCAAGTCGTTTAAGCCTTGGACCAAGAGAGAAGGGACATTAGGCTCCAGGCTATTCTGATGGAGTCGGCGATGACCTCAGCTCCGGCGCACCGCTCCAAGTTGGCACCAGGCACCACGGTGTCGGTGTGTGGCGACCCTTTGGTGCCATCGACTAGTCGGCACCGCTCCCCGTCCATGGGGCATGCCAAGAAGGCTAGAAAGATGCCTTCTTTGCCATGGCCCAGAATAAACCCAGGACAGAGGCTAGACCAATGTCGGGCAGTCCTCAATCCCCACTGGCCTCTATGCCTCTGACTCAAGTCGAGCGGAGTAGTCCAGCCCATTCGGAGCAGGCCTCCCCGGATGTCTGGATGCCCTCCACGCCAGAGGCCCTGCAGGCAGCCCAGGATGTTATGTCCATGCCGGTACCAGGAGCACCACCGATGTCGGCCCCGCACTCCAGAGGCAAGCTGCCACTGTGATCTCTGCAGTCGCCCCCGGCTCGGTACCGGTCTTGGTCGAGGGAACATTCCCGACACCGTTCTCCGCCCAGCGACCGGTCAGGGTAAAGTCCATGTGCATCGCCCTTGATGCCCCCCAGACTGTCTGGTTGGGTTCAGTCCAACCGAGACTCTCAGCACCGCTCCACCTCGAGGAGCGAACACCGATGGGACTGAGGCAGAAGTCACATCGTCTCAGAGGGGTTTATCACAGCCGGTCATGGCACAGACGTCGATGTCTTTCCCGTTCAGCGTCCCGCTCCAGGACCCCACCACGGCACCCTCTCCGGAGCCCTGGGCATCGATTGCCAGCATCTCACTGTCGTGGGTCCGCCCGTCAGAGCCGATTGCGGAGCAACTGCTACCAACGGTACCAGTCCTCCAGCCCAGCCAAACAACTGGCTCTGCTGGTGCCACAGCAGGTACAGTGGCACCGGGCCCTTTAGCTGGCCCAATGTTACCAGTGGGGACCGTGGCCCCCAACACAGCCCCTAGTGGGGGCTCGCTCGGTGGCCGGAGCCTCAGAAGGACCATCGTCCTCCCTCTCCAGACCTCCGAGGAAGGAGTCGGTGGGACGTAACTCACCTCCGAGCCCCCATACACGGTGTTTCTTAAGGATAAGGTCCAGCTCCGCCCACACCCTTCGTTCTTCCCGAAGGTGGTCTCCGTCTATCACATGGGTCAGGACACTTTTCTGCCGGTCCTCTGCCCCAAGCCCCATGCATCCAGTGAGGAGCACCGTCTCCACGCTGGATGTGAGATGGGCTCTGGCTTTCTACCTGGAGCGGACTAAGACGTTCAGAAAGTCCTCGCAACTGTTCATCACCTTGGCCGAGCGCATGAAAGGTCGGCCGATCTCCACTCAGCGGCTCTCCAACTGGATCACTTCGTGCATCCGTACCTGTTAAGACCTGGCAGGAATCCCTTCGCCACCAATTGTGAAGACGCACTTGACTAGGGCGCAGGCCTCGTCGGCTGCCTTTTTAGCCCATGTCCCCATTCAGGACATTTGCAAGGCTGCCACGTGGTCTTCA